ATGTTCGAACAGATAAACAACTTTTAAAATCTTACATTTTGTCTTTAAGTCTCTGTTATCAAGCGCGATTTTACGATCAAAACTTAAGAATAGAATATTGTAAAGAAATTTGCAAAACTTACAATGAATTTGAAGACATTCGTAAAGATCTGACATCGGATTACTACGAAAAAGTTATTCGTAAAGAGCAGATGGATTTTATGAGAAGGATGAGTAAACCGCCGCAGGTTGCAGCAAATGAAGCCTTGTTAGAAAATGTGCTTGTGATGATCGTCTGCATATTGACTAAAATCCCTGTTTTTGTTGTTGGTGCGCCGGGGTAAGAAATCTCTTTACAGTATTTATTTATTTATTTATTTACTTTCTTCGAATTCATATACAGTATAATAATCATACAGTACTTTAATTAAACTAGTGCGTCAAAATCACTTGCCATTCGTTTAGTTTCACAAAACCTTCGTGGCGGAGATTCTGATGATCCTTATTTTAAGACACTACCACAGGTATTTTAAATTATAATCAAACGATGTATTCATTTGCGCCTTGACTCAAGACAGTTTCTCATGCTCTGTAGGTGTATGTTATTCCTTACCAAGGTTCATCATCTTCAACTACTGATGGTTTGGTGAAAGTGTTTATGAAAGCGGAAGAATATCAAAAAACCAATTCAAAGGACTTTCCTTTGATTACTGTTGTTTTACTTGATGAAGGTAAATCACTCTTAAATTGTAAACTGGCATCGAATACTGTAACTCACAATTGAAAAATTTGAATCCTTCCGGTCAGTTGGCCTGGCAGAGACTTCTCCGCATAATCCACTGAAAGTTCTTCATTCGTTACTTGAACCAAGCTACCCACAAGAATTTCCTAATGTTTCTGTCATAGGCATAAGTAATTGGAGATTGGATAATTCCAAATCGAGTAGAGCCCTACTAATACAAAGGTTTGTGGTGATATTATTATATGTAATCTTGAGTATATATCACATGTTGATATTTTGTTTAATCTGAAATATTCTAAATATAATTATCCTTAATAGGCCAAAATTTGAGAGGAAAGACCTGAATAATACAGCCAAATTACTTTTAAAACTCGAGAGATTTCAATTACCCTGCTACGATAAAGTTAAAATTTTGCACGCATTGTCCGAGTCTTATTTGAAATACGAAAAAGGACAGCCGATAAAAAACTTTCATGGTCTTCGTGATTATTATTCCCTTGTTAAAAGT